AATAGTCCGTAAGTGAAAAGCCTTGACATTGACAAGGTCACTAACTGTACCCTAGACATTTAACTTGAATAAGAGGCGGCCACGCTCCGTCGAGACTAGTTAAATCCCAAATGTCGATTACTTTCTGCTCTCCCGCAGTAGTCGGCACGACAGTAAATATCATTGGTATTGTTTGTCGCTTTCCATGTATATCATCACATCCATATTTATAACTCGTTCTATTTATCCACCCTACCCTTCCTAACTGGAACAATCCTATTTTTTTATATGAATAGATGTTCTGACCCATATCCGAATTTGACCCACTTCCGAATCGGGTCGACCCATTTCCGAATTCTGAAATGGGTCAACCCACTTCAGAATTGTTGTATGTGATGATCAACATACTCGATTACATCACTTTATAATGCGCAATAATAATATCAACTTAATATTGAACACTCGAACAAGCGAATTTATTTATGAATAGCAAATATGAATAACGTAATAATAATAAAAAGAAAAATTAATGTCTCTAATTAGTTGACGCTTTTTATAGCTGGTAGTTAGTCATTAACACAGTCAGTATTTGTAAGATGACAGTGAATTCCACATTGCTTATTTAATCTCCGACAAGAACATTTTCGTGTGGAACAATCAGTCTTGCATTTACACTTACTATTACTATTACCAACTGCATTTTGCAGTCTAAGTGCCTCAGTCAAAGATACAACAGTCTCCGGAATAGTTAACAGGTCAGGAAACTCTGCTTCAACAGCTTCCAAGTCAGCTGCACGGTAGCGAATATTTAATACTCCTGAACTACAGCCAAGCTTATATTGACCTCCCTCCAACACCTCTACCACTTTACATATTAATGATTTTCCTCCCAAACGCCGTCTATCAACCCGTGGAATCTTAACACGAACATAATCACCAGCATCATACTCCTCAATTTCTCGCCTACCTCTTTTAAGCATGACGTTTCTTATTAAAGCAACATTTCGTTCTACTTGCTCTCTGGCAAGTTGACGGACAGTTTGTTGCCCCTGTTGCTGAGTAGATTCACCCTCTTCAGAACGTTCAGTGGCCACCTCATTATCTCCCAATATAAACTGCTCATCATATTGTCTAATTTTCTCGGGCCACTCTTCAAATATGGCTTGATACTCTTCATTCTCATCTCTGATCCTATAGTCAGTTTCTCCGACATTATTCCAATTTCTCAAATTCTCCAAACACCTCGTTATAAACTCTCTGTCATCTTCAGTAAATTCCCTTCTACTTAGTCGAGCAAGTAACCATGTATGTAATCGACAAACATATGTACCACGTGCTTGGGCAGGGGGAAAGATTTTCCATGGTCTGTACATCATCGCATCTTGAATAAAATAACCTGTGCTGTATTGATCTATAATATATTCATTATCATCGGATGAATCACACTCGTCCATATTACTAATAGCTTGTGAGTCAGCAGTAGATGGTTGATTATGATAAGCAGTAGGTTGTGGAGATGTGAGAGGAGAAAATGAAGGCAAAGAAATCGGGGGTGGAAGAGGGGGGATATCATCATCTTCAATATCTGTATTTTGTTCATAATTACTGTTAACGTCTTCATCGTCATTTCTGTGGATTTCAACATTTGCATATTGCACATCGTTACTGTTATTTTCCTCAATTTCACTATCTTCGATTTCAATATTTTCAGGGAAATCATCCTCATCGGTAATATTCATATTCCAAAGTTCGTTGAGTAACGTTAAATTACATCGAGGACGTTGTTGGAAAACTAAATGATAAGGTGAGTGTCTTGTGGCACTGCAAACTTGAGTATTCATTGCCCATACTATCAACGGTAAACCCATGCTCCAATCTTCACGGTTATTTGCCTCAAGCCATGCAGAAAGCTTGTTTTCTAAAATATCATTCCCTTTCTCAACTAATCCTTGTGACCTAGGATGTCGTGGGCGGCCATTAATAATGCGCGTTCTTGGCCATAATTGAATAAGTTCACGAATGATTGACGCGACAAATTCTTTTCCGTTATCAGATTGTAAAAAAACCGGTGGACCAAATTGTGTAAATGTTTGAAATAAAAAGCTTGCTACGTATATGGCTTGTTTATTTTTTAACGCTGTTGCCCAGGAAAAACGGGTGAAATGATCTCTAGCATGAGCTATATATTTATAATCACCATCCGGCCGAGTTCTCAAATCGATCAAATCTACTTGAACCCGCGACATAAATTCATTGGCAATAATGGGCTTTGCAGATGTTGGAGTTACCATTGGCCGTCGATTTGTGCAAATGCTACATGCATTAACAAATGCAACAATTAATTTTCTGGGAACGTAACTGTATTGGTGTTTGAGTTCTTCGAATGTCTTTTTGTAGCCAGCATGTTGTAAATCTTGATGTATAGAACAGACTACATCGTACATATTCTCTCTAACGCAAACGGGTTTTTTACTTTTTTTGAGTAATAAATTTGTTGTTTCGCCAATATGCATAATGCTGAACGTTTGCAGTACCCAGTGTTTGTATCGTGGATTTGCACTTGTATCTGAGCCGCCAAGAATTTCAATCGCCTGGTTTACAATTTCTTGAGTCAGAATGGCTTTTTCGCGACGATCGGGCGATATATTATTCAAGTAATTCTCCACCAATTCATCAAATTTGGCACGAGAGATGAAGTTAAAATGATTATTAGACATGTTTGTATACTATGTAAATTTTGACAATGCGAAATGGAAGAGAGTTGGGCTTTACTTATATAAAAAAACGGAGAACATTGTCAATACAGCAACGTTAGTATTTATTGAATCTATGTCATTGTTGATTTTATCATACAACTCCAGAACCCTATTTCGTTTGAAAGTGATTCACCTTATGATACTATTTTGTTAAAGCTTAATTGGTTTGACAATCATACGATTTCGACATTCAATTATTCAATCGTTCTATTCTTTGTGATTGCTGGATTACCTTACAACCCTTTTTTGTTAAAGCCTGATTATTTTGACCATCATATGATTTCGACATTCAATTATTCAATCGTTCTGTTCTTTGTGATTGCTGGATTCCTTTTTTGTTGAAGATCTTAATTGTTTTGACTAGCATACAATTTTCAAAACCAATTATTGTTCTATTTCTTTGTGGTTGCCTGACTTACAATCCTTTTTTGTTAAAAGCTTAAAAATATACGATCTCTAAAATAGCTACCGCATCAACAAATTGAAGATCATAACTGCGGCTGGTGGGACAAATCAGATGATCTAAACAGACTAGTAAAATATAATGAATCGTATGATCAAAGCAATTATGGCCTTTAACAAAAAAGGATTGTAGGACAAGTTGAGCAAAAGAAATAGAATGAAGAAATAATAAACCAATGCCATGTCATGGATTTATAAATTGAGGAATATCAACATTGCAATTCACTTAGCATTGTCAGGAAACAAGCATGTCTATTCTTTGTAATTACCCTGAATACCTTACAATCCTTTTTTGTTAAAGCCTGATTATTTTGACCATCATACGATTTCGATGCTCAATTATTCAATCGTTCTGTTCTTTGTGATTGCTGAATTACCTTACAATCCTCTTTTGTTAAAGCCTAATTGTTTTGACCATCATACGATTCATTAAACTATTCAATCGTTCTATTCTTTGTGATTCACCTTATGATACTATTTTGTTAAAGCTTAATTGGTTTGACAATCATACGATTTCGACATTCAATTATTCAATCGTTCTATTCTTTGTGATTGCTGGATTACCTTACAATCCTTTTTTGTTAAAGCTTAATTGTTTTGACCCATCGTACGATTTTCGACATTCAATTATTCAATTGTTTTGTTCTTTGTGATTGCTGGATTCCTTTTTTGTTGAAGATCTTAATTGTTTTGACTAGCATACAATTTTCGAAACCAATT